TCCTGGCCGCAGCGGGGTGACATAACCATCAGCAAGATGTCATTAAGGTACACTAAAGGTGGTCCTCAGGTGTTGAAAGACATCAGTTTCTCCGTTGCTGACAAGGAGAAGATAGGTATTGCAGGCAGAACGGGAGCTGGCAAGTCATCCATTATCGCTGCACTTTTGCGCATGCCTGAACCAGAAGGAAAGGTTAGAATACGCTACTTCACACAACATATCCAAGGATTTTATGACATGATAACGAACCTACTTTGCAACGTTCGGGACTAGTTTTGTGAAAACGCACGCGGGAAAGCACCATTACTTAACCCATTGCTATAAAACCCAATAAGCTGTGAATATCTGAAATATTTATGAACTGTAGTTGTGACGAGGGTAACGATCAGATCCGCTGTGGGAAAACTAAACCTAAAACACCAATATTAGTTTTATTTTGGTGTTGTGTCCTGATCTTACAATGAAAATTGCCACAATGGTTTAGGTAGTCGATAGAATTTTGAGTAAAAGGGAGGGTTCAATCCACTTCAACAACTGGTCATTTTCTGAGGAGACTTTCAAAAGTAAGAATTGCTAACTGTGTTGACTGAAGTGGAATCTGTTATATAAAAACTTCCCTCTGTTAAGCAACAAATTGTGTGGGTTAAACATGAAACATCAAGATATGAGACTATTGAAAGTTTGAAACCGCATTACATGATAAACATTCCTTACATGATTTGATAATATTAATTACGATATCATTTACTTTCCATTTGCTCGTCACAGATTTTAATTGACGGTGTCGATATTGGAACTCTTAACCTTCAGACGGCGCGGCGTTCCATGGCTGTTATTGCGCAGGACCCAGTTCTCTTTGGAGGTAGCTTGAGGAGAAACCTTGACCCATTTTCAAAGCATACAGATCTGGATCTTTGGACTGCTCTTGAAGACGTGCGGTTAAAAGCCATGGTGGAAAAGCTTCCTGGTCAGCTTGACTACCAGGTAAAGGAAGCAGGGTCCAACTTCAGTGTTGGTGAGAGGCAGCTTGTCTGTTTGGCTCGCGCGTTGGTTCAGAAGTGCAAGATCATCGTCATGGATGAGGCTACTGCCAATGTAGATTTCATGACAGACAACCTGATTCAGCAAGTCATTCGTCACAAGTTTAAAGACTCCACAGTACTGACGATTGCTCATCGCCTGAACACGATTATGGACTATGACAAGGTGCTGATTCTTGATGGCGGACGAGTAATGGAATTTAACAAACCTGAAATTTTGATGCAGAATGGTGGAATGTTCGCTGAACTGGTGAAGAATACCAATGAGGGGAAAATGTAAGCCAAAGGAATAAAGAGTAAAAAGTCCAAATCATGGAAAATACATTGACGAAAGATTAAAAGTTGTTTTCAAATCTCATCGCTGAGGACACAAATGCCTTTCAGCAGCTAAATCGCGGCCGATTTTTTTTATTCTTAGCTTCTTTGCATAGATATAGACTGGTGATTGAAAAAAAAAACAACTGTGCAGGTCTTGGCTGAGGGACACAGGAATTGTTGTCGTCATCCTTATTACACGCGCACCGGTAGCCGCCTCAATTGTTATTTTATCGATAGTATGGAATTAATCATGATTGATTTTGTACGAAATGAAAATAAAATGCGATTCTTCTCCCCAAAAGTCTGGGATTTGTTTCTTAATATGCCTTTTGCAAATTGAATACGTGTTCTTCCCTTTCGCTCATGATCACAGAGTTTGAGAGCCGTCCTATATTGGCCTTAGGAAGTATGCTGGCTTAATACCACTCTTGCATTTAATGCTTAGCTTGTATAATTAGTTTTAGTGTTTCAAGTCAGTTATTCTATTTTTATATCTTGTTTATACGCTCGGAAGACCAGCGAGGCAACATTCCGAAAATTTTAAAGAGGGAAAGCGAGATATTAGTAAGTTGGGAAACCTCCAAGTAAGCTGTCGATGTAAGAGTTGAAGCAAGATATGTAACCGAAAATAGGTTTTCAACGAGTCCATACTGTAGCGATCCTTTAAACTTGATTTGAAATGATCTCGTAAATGTTTGGTGATGTTCTCCCAGTAAGAGATTTCGTAGTCACAAAAACCTTACAATGTATTATTGAATATAAGAACGAGTTTTTTTCAATTAGTTTTTGACGTTGGAATACACATTCCTTTTCTGTTTTAGTGCGTAAAATAGCTTCTCACTTCTGAGTTTTGTCTGGAACAGTGACGTTTCTGAAACCGCTTATTATATACGCATTGTAAACTTCACCAGTGAGCAGCTTTCCAGAGGTTGCACATGATTGGAGTCTCAATGTTCCTGTCTGCACAAAGCATGTAACAATTGCTCAGTAGTGTGGGTTCTTTTGAGTATTTTTACCATAAGAAAAACAGTAGTCCCTGGTCATCTTTACCAAGACTCTTTTTAAAGCCAACAGTGATCTTACCTTAGTAAATAATATGTCATTTGCTTTTTAATTTACATGTGGTTGACTGTCAAATAGAGCCAATATGTTTAATTAGTTTTTACCTGTGTTGAGGTAGCCCTCAAACCCTCGTTTGACAAATGGCTCGCAAAATACATATATTTTTGTATTTCGTGCATAGATTGTTTTTGTTTGCTTCACTCGTTCTTTTGTGTGTTTGTTCTAAACTTCTAAATAAATCGTTCTAAATTCTAAACTTCTCGAGATAATGATTGAAATTCTCTTTCAGTCTGTATTATATCAATCCATCCTATTGGTGCAACAGCAACAGTTACTGAGATGGCTACCACTGACGTGCAAAAAGAATGAGGAAAACATTCCTGTGTCTCTCCGCCAAGCCCTACTCAGTTTCCTCAGTTACCATTAATAGTGTGCAGCTATGAAAGGAAGGTGAGGAAAAAATCAGTTGCAGTTTAGCACCTGAAGAGTGTTTTTGTCCTCTGCCAAAGGATTCTATACAACTTTTGATTTTTATATAGGTAAAGGGGGGATACAGTGGATGTTTGATGAGAATTGGATTCTCTTGGAGAATTTACTGGTAAGTTATACTCTACAGGTATCATTATGGGGTTTATTTGTGTACCCGATTATTCTCAAACGATCTCGATATGAATTGATGTTAGAGTGCACTCAGTCTGAACAATATTAACCCACTACATTCAATCAGCCAAATTCTAAAAGGCCCTTAAATAGCTGGATGAATCTGAACACAACATTTTGGCAAAGCGAGAAAGTCTCAGCTGGTTGATCAGCATCCATCATTGGGGTGCTGCGTATCTTACATGCTTGGGATGAGATTGTGCCAAATATAAAAGGTCATTAAAAGCTAGACCTGAAACTGCCAACCGTTTATAATGAGCGCTGCGTGACATCCTTGATAACGGCTGCGAAGGAGACTAGGGCTGGATTTTTTTCCGTTGCGTTACCTGTTGCGTCACTTGCTGCATGGAAGCCCTGTGGCTGTTCGGTAATAATTTCAACGCCTTCGGACATGTTATACCGATACCTGAGATATTGGAGGATAATACTATTGCTCGGGGTAAAACTGTAATTCGTAAAAAGACAGTCAGCGGAGAGGCGAAGCTCCGAAGGGCGAAGGCAACCATTTTCTGTTGAGGTCATTATCCTGGTGTAAGGTCTGTGAAAGAGTAATGTAGAATGATCGTGCATATGGGTATAGAGGGCGACACAGAGGACCGGGTGACTGAAAGAAATGCATTATGGTTATACTATGGAAGCTTACGTCGCTTTTAAAGCTTCCAATGCATTCCATGAATGACCATTGCATGTTGCATTATTCTTAAATCAAGGATTTTGTCATCTAAATGCCCGGTAGCCGGGCACGGTCTCGCATAGGAAAAAATGCCCAGCAGTGAGAAAATTTCACAGACTTTCCACCGAAACATTCTTTCTAACTTCTTAGGATTATCGGATGTTTTTTTAGAAATTTCAAGTGATTCTACAAATTAATTGTCTTTTTCAGCGAACAAACTCTCCGAGTTTAAGCATGCAATAATATCGCTCAGTTGTCGACACTTAAAAATTGCCCGTCTCTGATCACACTGCCGAGCACGGCCTCGATGGACTAATGTCCCCAAAATGCTACCGAAAAATTCGTAAAAACCTATTGCGTACATTCGAGGTCGATTTTGAAATTTTCGTTTTTTTCAGAAGTGGTTAAGCTTACACGTACCATACCAAAATATACTAACATTATACTACATTGTAGTCTGCACTAGCTTAGAAGATTTGTCCACTAAAAAACCAAATTAATATTTGGAATCACTTAACATTTCTTACCAAAATATAATACCCTTTAGAAGTTTCAAGGAATCTTTCAGTGGTATTTTGGTGAAAATTGCTAACTGCCGGATATTTAGTCCATTCGAGACCGTGCCCGGCAGTCTGATCGGAAGCGTGTCGAGAACCGAGCGATATGAAAGTATGCTCAAGCGCAGAGAGTCTGTCTACAATAAACCAAATTAAATCGCTTGACATTTTTAAACAAACATCTGATATTTCCTGAGCCCATTTAGTCTATTTGAGACCGTACCCGGCTGCTGGGCATTTAGTCGAAGCGTTTTATCGTTTTATTTTGCTCATTATCAAACGCTTGGTAGACCAACGAGATAGTATTCCCACGATTCTGTGAAGAGTAAACGAGAACAAAATACAAAATTGCCTATTAACAAATGTGACAACTTTTGAACTAATAGTTCTAAGCAACATGATTCAGTGAAGGACGTGAGCCCCCTTTTAAACCAGTCCGTGTAAAATGAAACGAGAACTAAGAAATTTGCATGTTGTAGTTATAAGTTCACGGTCAATGAACTTATTACGTATGATTAACTATAGAAAAATCTTTCGACATGACTATATTTTCCAACAGTTTCTGCGAGCGTTGAAATACACGTTTCATTTCTTCAGGTCCGTTTGGATAAATTTTGGAGCAAGTGCTCTAAGGAATTTGAAGTGGTGAAGGACTTGATTGGCCTTTCAAACCAGTCAGTGTGTGATGAAATGGGGTCAAGTAAATTTGCATGTTGTGGTTGAAAGCATTCCTTTCATTGATTCACGGTCTATGAACTAATTTGCGGATTTTCGACCGGATAACTTTTAACCTGCAGAGTAGGCGTAATTTTGGCGAGCGAGTGCTCAGTATTTTTTGAGAGAAAATTATGGCCGCCATCTTTGATTTTAATGGCAGCGGAAGGCTGGTATTCAGGTCTTTCAAATCATAGGAGATTTCTCTCCAGAATAACTAATAATAACCAACTGTAAATAACTAATCTATGCCTTATAGTCTCCATAAGAGCTCGTTAGCATACAAGAAATATCCTCGCATGTGTGATGACGAAATTAACATTGCAATTAGATCAGTGCCACCCTGATTTGTATAACAAACACAACAAGGCAACATTTTTTTAAGGAAAGATGTTCTGTCACACGGTTGGATCTGAGTACGAGATTAGCTAGTACCTTAGGTTATCAGTAGCTTTTCCAACCCTTGGTCGTGAAATGTTTTAGAATAACGCCCCTATAGGCCCAAGTAATACGAAGTAAGGCCATCTATACGTAAATTTGTTGAGAGTCAATCACGTCAAGCCTTCAGCACCACCACGGCTCTTAAAAGGTGTACGTTATCTTTAAGAGCTCCTAACCATCTAAAGCTCGATCCACCCCCCCCCCCTTACTTTTCCCACTCCCGCCCCCTCCCCTCTCCTGTCGCTTATGACACGATAGGGTGTGTTACGTAGCCTGCTCGTTTAAGGGTTGAAGTGCTGTCTTATTTTTTACAGAACAAGCAAAAGAAAAGAATAACCAACGTAACATGGAAAGGAATGAGCCGGCAGTTAGTAGTCGTCCGACAGCCCCACATCCTTATGATTCTGCAAACTGGCTCTCTCGAGTAACATTGCAGTGGATGAACACCATCCTAAGACTTGGCAGCGGGAAACCTCTGGAAAAGGAAGACATCTTTCCCGTCCGCGAGGCAGACGGTATGAATCAACTTGTTCAAAAACTTGAAATTGAATGGCAACGAGAAGTTAATAACAGCCGAGCCCGAGGCTGCAAACCTCACATGTGGAGAGCATTATCCCGAATGTTCTCATGGCGGGCGTACATGATGCTGATTGTTTTGAAAGTACTTAGACTTCTTGCCACCGTTTTCTTACCGTTGCTGCTGTGGTTTTTCTTGTCGGACCTGGGACGAGAACAGCAAGGATATTCTGTTTCTACCTTTCTGTTCATTGGCGGTATAATTTTTCTTTCTTCAATCAAGGGACTGACGAAGAATCACTATTATGGAATAACACAAATATGGGGCATACGACTAAAGGTGGCGTGCGTAGGGCTCATCTACAAAAAGGTGAGTGCCACGGATTTGAAGCAAAGTGTAATAGACTAACTTCTACTTTTATGCTGCTGACCTTTTTAATCTGTAAGGGCCGCTCTTTAGATTTCACAACTTCATTTCGATGGTATTCGTGGAGGAAGAAACTGGGTACGAGCCTGAAGACGGGGGACTTACCTCTTTGGTCTTCTATGCCACGCATTGATGTAACAATTGAGTTATAGTAAAATATGAGTGTCACTTAGCAACCAAGGTTCCAAAACGTTATTAAATAAGAGAATAAATCCTCTTCTTAGTCGAGGCGGATTCAGAGAACTATTTTCTTGCCCTACTCCCCTCCCTCTGAGGTGCAGTGATAAAAATTAATACCCTGGAAACGAGGTTTACCCTAACGGCTGTTCATTTGCTTCTTTTCTTAATATATTTTTTAGTTTGATTTTATTCCGCAAAACAGTGGTTCACCAACTCATGGTTATGTTTTCAAGCAAAACTGTTTTCTGAAAATTGTAATATTAATTAACTTTAAACGTCACAGGAGTTACGTAACCCAGAACTGTCAAGGAATCTATTGATATTCGTTTTCGTTCTAAACCGCGTGTGTTGTAGTTTTCTTGTTAGTTACAGTTTAGTCGTTTTGTATCAAAGGTCTTTTCTTAAAGTGGAGTCGTTTCGCGTTTGAAGAACACAACAAAAATAACCAAGCATCTTTGAATATTTACTTAACACTGCGTGATATTGCTCTTTTTACACAGATTCTAACGCAGCTTAAGCGCTGTGACCTTCAGAAAATTGTCTCGGGAAAGACCATAAATCTTGTTTCAAACGATGCTCAGAAGATGGAAGAATTTTTTTGGGCATTGAACAATTTTCTGTTCTCTCCTATCGAGATTCTGGGTTCTTGCACAATTCTTCTGGCCTTGACAGGATGGAAAGCTCTTGTCGGAGTTTCATTTTATTTAATATCCATTTCTACCATCATGTTACTGTCACATTATAGTGGAACACTACGCCTCAAAGCAGCAGAAGCTAGAGACAAAAGACTGAAAGTTATGAACGAGGTTGTATATGGTGTTCGAGCTGTTAAAATCTACGCCTGGGAAATGAACTTTGCTGAAGTAATCAAGCAACTAAGGAGGTAGAATAAGCAAAACAAAGTGATTCATTCATGTTCCTATGCCCAGAGGAAGAAAATACCATTACAATGTTTTACCTCTACCTTCGATTTTGAGCAACCATCCAAAGTAATTCAAGAGGCTTTTCTTTTGTAGCTGGATATCCGTATTTCCCACTCGTGGGCTTTCAAGTCTTTAAGTCTGCACATATACTTTCTTTTTTGTTTTCATAAAAAAAAAACTAACAAAGCAGACTAACTGGGAAGAGGGGATGGCATAGCGGAGAGAGCACCTGATTACTAAACCTGGCGTCACGTGTGGGTTGATTTTGTTGATGGTTCTCCCCTCTTTGCTCGGTTTTTCCCGATTTTTCTCCAGGTCCTCCGGTTTTACTCCACCCACAAAAACCCACACTCCAAATTCCAATTGTACCTGAAAATAGTTGGAAAGAAGAACCCATTGTTGTCATTTTTATCATTATTATTTTTATTGCTATCTCCATTATCATCTTTCTTCTTCTTCTTCCTCCTTTTATTATATTACTATCATTATCTTTATTATTATTATTATTTTTATTATAACGATAATATTATTTTATTTCCACCCTTCCTCTTGTTCTCCCAAATAAAAGGGACGACCAACAGAGGCGAGGTATTTTGATATCGAACATCTTAAGTCATTCACGTTTTAATCATTTTCCTTCACAGGCGAGAAATGTGGTTTGTCAAACTACGAGGGCTCATTGTGTCCGGCCTAAATTCCGTGATTTACACAACAGGGCCATTGGCCAGTCTGCTATCTATGATAACTTTGATATCTACTGGAGAACATATTACTGCTTTGGAAATGTTTACAATCCTATCCTGCCTTAATGTAATAAATTTTTCTGTGGCTCTTGGCATGGCTTACTCGCTGCCCTTCGTTGCCGAAGGCTACATTGCTGCCAAACGAATAGAGGACTTCATGTCAAAGGAAATTGGACTAACATGTGCAGAGACCAACGCAAAAATTACATTTGCTGAGCAGCTGGGGCCAAATGGATTTCTTGGTTTAAGTTTAAAAAGAAAAGAATGTAGTACAGCCTTCGTTAGACTAGAGAGCTTCAAAGCTGGTAATGCTAAATTGCTCTCTATGTCGAGAACACCGACTAACACAAACACTGAAAAGAATGAGTTATCTTTGTTCCGCGTCTCGGCTTCATGGAACAAAAGTGAAGACAGAAGAGCTTTAACCAACGTTTCATTACGTGTGAGGCAGGGTGAGATGTTAGCTGTAACAGGACCAGTTGGAAGTGGAAAGTCCTCTCTGTTGATGGCAATTCTTGGAGAGCTCTCTGCTATCAGCGGAACAGTGACATTAAATGGAAGAGTCGCTTACGTTCCACAAATTCCTTGGGTTTTCTCAGGCACCATCAGAGACAACATTTTATTTGGAAGACCTCTTGACGTTAGTAGTTACTATAAAACTCTTGATGTTTGCTGTATGCAACCAGACTTACAAAACTTCCCTAAAGGAGATTTGACCGAGATAGGACACCGTGGTGTAAGTCTCAGTGGTGGTCAGCGTGTACGTGTAAGTTTAGCTCGTGCACTGTACTCGGCTGCTGATGTCTATTTGCTGGATGATCCCCTCAGTGCAGTGGATGCCAAAGTTGGAAAGCATCTCTTTAATAACTGCATTTGCGGATTTCTCTCAAACCGAACTCGTGTTTTTGTGACTCATCAGCTTGACTTCTTAACTCACATACCTGACGTTATAGTGCTGAACAACGGTGTTAAAGTTGGGGAAGGACAATGCTTCCAGGATGAAGAGTCCAAAACTCTTAAGTTTGCTTCTCAAACCGAAAGTGCTGAGGGGACATGCCAATCTTCCCCGCATCGAAGCCCTCAGCTTCCTTATGATGAAGACCTCGGAGATCAAGATTTAAAAGAAGAGGAAGAGGACCGCAATACTGGTTCCATTACTTGGAAGATATATTGGAGCTACATCAGGACAGCTCTCGGAGCTCCTTTGGTGCTTTGCCTTTCTGTTGCTGTTCTTAGCATGAAAGGTATGAGAACAACATTCCTTTTGAACGACAGCAACCTGATATTTTCTACTATTGTAACTCACAAGGTCCATTTTCATTAGTGTGGGTAACCTTTTGGTTTTATCTTGGTAAAGACCTCTTAGGTTTTATATGGTATACCAATAACATGGCTCAATCAGATATGTATTTATGAATTCAAGTTTTTTTTCTGCCTGAAAAGGGCCCCAAAAACTCAAATCAAACATGAAAATGGGACTATGGTTACATTTACCTCTTCGGGGGATAAATATGTATGTTTTAGCTGAAATACCAGGGATATGAATCCAGGCTGATCTAGAAGCGATTTTCTCAGGGGAAAGATACCTGTGTATCATTAATTCTGGCACTATTTTTCAATGATATTATTTCATTAATTATAACTTTTATGATTATTACTTACTGTTTTCATTTTTTCAGGGTTACTGGTTGCTTCGTACTGGTGGGCTTCTCAGGTTGCGGAAATGAATCAGGAGCGGCAGAGATCTTTCGCGACATTGGGAATATACGGCGCTATCGTTGGATTATCATTTTTAGGCAACATAGCTGTCTCACTACTTTTTTGTTTCATTCTCCTTAAAGCTTCCGAAATATTGCACAACAAAATGGTCTTGGCTGTCCTCAGGGCACCAGTGCTGTATTTTGACAAAACCCCAGTTGGGCGCATTTTAAATCGTTTCTCAAAAGACATCGGTAACATGGACGACGTTTTGCCTACTCACGTCCTCCTGGCTGTCGAAGTTTCTTTATTTTCCTTCAGCACCGTTCTTCTTCCTGCTGCAGCCAACGCTTGGCTTATTTTAGTTGCGACTCCTGTTGTCGCAATTGTGTTATATTATGGACGATATTATATGAGGTCATCTCGTGAAATCAAAAGATTGGAGGCTATCACCTGCAGCCCTGTATATTCGCACATTTCAGAGACCATCGCTGGACTTGAAATAATTCGCTCATCTCAAATGGAGCAGCGTTTCTTGAAAAGTCTCTTCAAGTAAGTTGGAATCTAAAACCAAAGATAAATTATTTTGAAAGAAAATAAATGAAAAAGCAAGTTAAATATCTGCTCTTCATTGCGAAAATTAAGAGTTTGAAATATTTTGAAATTGATAATAACTTTTTATAACACACTTTCGATTTGAGCCGCTACGTTTCTACTGCCCACTAAAACTAATTTCTTTATAGTGATACATGTCACCTTATAACGCTTTATGCTCAGATTTGACTCCCTGATATTCAACAGTTGTGAAGATAAATACTATCTTTAATAAGTCGAAAAGTCGCCACCCACAACTGTAGTGAATACATCGTGAGACAAACGATGAAACTTTGTAACAAGTATAATTGCCTCCTTCAATGCCTACAGCTTTTTTTATCTTGGTTCATACAACTCGGACTTTTAATTCTGTACTGACGAGAAATTAATTTTTTCCTTCATGGAGGCGTTGCTAAATAATTAGCATCGAATGGCCTAAGTTACCTCGGGAGAGAGTTCATTTGTGATACGCGTACTTAATAAAAAAAATTACTAAAATAATTTTATCCGTCTCAAATAATAGATGAAATGGTAAATTAAAAGGACACCAGAAAGGAAAGGGCAGATTACATTGCATTACTGGAATCCTTTGATAGCGTATATGTCTATGCATTCAACTGAATTCTTTTCATCTTTTAAGATACCAGGATGAAAACACATCAGCTTTAATCATGGTAGTAACAAGCACACAATGGCTTACTGTACGCATGACACTTGCATGCAGTCTAATGATAGCTGCAGCAGCAATTGGTGCAGTTCTTGTCACTCAAAGCCCAGGTAACGTTTGCATCAATTTTTCAGAACTTAGTAGGTCCTTTAGTTAAAGTAACTGGTAGCTTTTGTTGGTGTTGGAAATAATAACTGAGTTCCTGCTCTGCGGTTGGCGGACAATGGACAGATAGACGGACTGACAAAGACTGATACATATACACGACCTGAAGGTAAAAGCACGCACGGGCAGGTAGCCAGGAAGATAAATGAACAAACAGTGGTGGGTTAACAGACACAAATTGAAAGACTTGTAGGACCTAATCACAGACACATAGAAATACGAACTGACAGAAATACAAACAGACAGACAGTAACAGCCAAATAAACAGACAGAAGGATCTAATTGAACCGACAGGCATAGAGATTGACAGCCAGGTAGAAAACCGGCGAACGCGTAGACAAAGAACAGCGAGAAAGAAGTACGGCAAGAAAGCACTTCGCACCTCAAGAATTTCTGGTTATATTATATTCATTATTGAAATGATACTTTAGCTTTGGCAGGGATGTCCCTTTCTTTCTTGCTTGAGTCATTGGATGAGGTCCAGTATGGCGTCAAAGTAAGTTCTGACGTTGAGAACTACATGACTTCAGTTGAGAGAGTAATGTGGTACACCACTTTAGAGGCTGAGCCAGGATATAGCACAAGAACCTGTCCTCCTTCGTCTTGGCCGCAGCGGGGTGACATAACCATCCGCAAGATGTCCCTGAGGTACATTAAAGGTGGTCCTCTAGTTTTGAAAGACATCAGTTTCTCTGTTGCTGATAAGGAGAAGATAGGTATTGCAGGCAGAACGGGAGCTGGCAAGTCATCCATTATTGCTGCACTTTTGCGCATGCCTGAACCAGAAGGAAAGGTTAGAATACGGTACTTCACACAACATATCCGAGGATTTTTATGACATGAAAACCGAACCTTCTTTGCAACGTTCGGGACTAGTTTTGTGAAAACGCATGCGGGAAAGCGCCATTACTTAACATATTGCTGTAAACTCCAGTAAGCCATGAGCATCTAAAATATTTATGTACTGTAGTTGTGAAGAGAGTACCGATCAGATCCGCTGTGAGAAAACTAAAACTGAAACACCAATATTAATTCAATTTTGGTGTTGTGTACTGATCTCATAAAGAAAATCCAAACAATCGTTTAGTTAGTATCGTTTAACAATCAATAGAATTTTGAGTAAAAGGGCGGGATGCAAGTCACTTCAACAATTGGTTTTCCAAGAAGACTTTCAAAAGCAAAGAATTGAAAATTGTGTTTATTGAATTGGAATCTGTTATTTAAAAACTGTCCTTTGTTAAACAACAAATTGCGTGGGCGAAACATGAAACATCAAGGTATGAGACTTTTGAAAGTTTGAAACCACATTACCACATTACATGATAAATATTCCTTACATGATTTGATAATATTAATTACGATATTATTTACTTTCCATTTGTTGGTCACAGGTGTTAATTGACGGTGTCGATGTTGGAACTCTTAACCTTCAGACGGCGCGGCGTTCCATGGCTGTTATTGCGCAGGACCCGGTTCTTTTTGGAGGTAGTTTGAGGAGAAACCTTGACCCATTTTCAGAGCATACAGATCTGGAGCTTTGGGCTGCTCTTGAAGACGTGCGGTTAAAAGCCATGGTGGAAAAGCTTCCTGGTCAGCTTGATTACCAGGTAAAGGAAGCAGGGTCCAACTTCAGTGTTGGTGAGAGGCAGCTGGTTTGTTTGGCTCGTGCATTGGTTCAGAAGTGCAAGATCATCGTCATGGATGAGGCCACTGCCAATGTAGATTTCAAGACAGACAACCTGATTCAGCAAGTCATTCGTCACAAGTTTAAAGACTCCACAGTACTGACGATTGCTCATCGTCTGAACACCATTATGGACTATGACAAGGTGCTGATTCTTGATGGCGGACGAGTGGTGGAATTTGACAAACCTGAAATTTTGATACAGAATGGTGGAATGTTCGCTGAACTGGTGAAGAATACCAATGAGGGGAAAATGTAAGCCAAAGGAGTAAAGAGTAAAAAGTCCAAATCATGGAAAATACACTGACGAAAGGTTAAAAGTTGTTTTCAAGTCTCATCGCTGGGACAAAAACGCCTTTTAGGAGCTTAATTGCGGCTGATTTGTTTTATTTTTTTTTCTTAGCTTCTTTGCCTAGCTGTAAACTGGTAATTGAAAAAAACAACTGTGCAGGTGTAAGCTGACGGATACAGGAATTTTTGTTGTCATCCTTGCTACACGCCCACAAATAGTCATCTCAATTATTCTTCTTTTGTTGTTATGGAATTAATCAAGATTGATTTTGTACGAAGTGAAAATAAAATTCGATTTTTTTCCCCAAAAGTTCTGGATTTGTTTCTTAATATGCTTTTTGGTAATTGTATGAAACCATTAAACCCCAATACATGTTCTTCCCTTTCGCTCATATCACAAAGTTTGAGAGTCATCCCATATTGGCCTTAAGAAGTATGCTAGCCTAATACCACTCTTGCATTAAATGCTTAGCTTGTATAATTCGTTTAAGTGTTTCGAATCAACTATTCTGCAATTAGATCTTGTTTATATGCCTTGGAGACCGGCGGGGCAACATTCCGAAAATTTTAAAGAGGGAAAGCGAGATATCAGTAGGTTGCGAAACCTTCAAGTAAGCTGTCGATGTAAGAGTTGAAGCAAGAGATTAAACCAAAGAGTAGGGTAATTCGGCAAGGAAAAGGGCTCCTCTCTCTTTTTCCAACGATTTTGAAAACTTGATTTGAAATGATCTCGCAAATGTGTAGTGGTGAACCCTTAATGATAGGTTTCACAGTCACAAAAACTTGACAATGTATTCTTGATTGTGAGAACGCGTTTTTTCAATTAGTTTTTGACGATGGAACACACTTACCTTTTCCCCTTGTGTGCATAAATTAGCTTCTGGACTTTACAAGTGGGCAGCTTTCCAGTGGCTGCAGATGAATGGATTCTCAATGTTCCTGTCATATAAAAATTGCTCAGTGATGTGGATAAAAGCTGAGTATGCAGCTCATGAAAAATAATAATTTCTGATATGTACATAGTTTCTAATTTTGTGAAGTTTTAAATTCAGCAAAGGTCGTTTTCCAAGCACCACATAAAACCTCACTGATCCCTAACCTCTAACGTTCTGGGTCGCAGTAACCCAATTTTACGTGACTGCAATGATGCAAGAGATGGATATCACAAAAATCTAGATCTCTTGGATAAAGTGAAACTCCAGGAGGTGCTTTCTATTCAATTACGATAAATGGTACGATGCAAGGACCCAACATCTCAAAAGGATAAAAAAAAAAAAAAAAAAGGGAATAGGAGAATCTCCAAACTGCCCTTTCTAACCTCTGAGCATCATTCGATACAAAATTTATTGTTTTTTTTCCTGCTACAATTCTCTGAAGATCATTATGCTTGAGTACGGTTATAATCTGTTAAATCACGAAAACATCTCACTAGATCATGAATAAGCATCTAAAATTTCTTGGCTATTTCAGAGTTCATCGTTTCCATTTTGCGACCAAAGTCACAAGCGATAGAGTTAAGCAAACAAAAAAATCATGCATGAAAACACAATTACATACAACTTGCACAATGAGTAATAAGTGACAAATTCTAAACTTCTCGAGAATGATTGAAATTCTCTTTTAGTCTTTATAATATCAACCGTGATTAAAATTCCATCTTATTGGTGCACGAGCAGCAGTTACTGAGATGGCCACCACTGACATGCAAAAAGTATAAGGAAACATTCCTGTGTCTTTCAGCCAAGCCCTGCTCAGTTTCTTTCCATTACTAGTGTACAGCTAGGGAAAGGAGGAGAGGAAAAAAATTCAGCTGCAATTTAACATCTGAAAGGTGTTTCTGTCCTCTACCATGGGATTTCTTTTTTGATGCATTTTCAATGATTTGGACCTTCACTCTTAACTCCATTGGCTTCACTTTTCCTTGCATAGGAATTTTTCACCAGTTCAGCGAATATTCCACCATTCTGTATCAAAATTTCAGGTTTATCAAATTCCACCATTCGTCCGCCATCTAGAATCAGCACCTTGTCATAATCCATAATGGTGTTCAGGCGATGAGCAATGGTCAGCACTGTGGAGTCTTTAAATTTGTGACGAATAACTTCCTGGATCAAGTTGTCTGTCTTGAAGTCTACATTGGCAGTGGCCTCATCCATGACGATTATCTTGCTCTTCTGAACCAATGCACGAGCCAAACAGACTAGCTGCCTCTCACCAACACTGAAATTAGACCCGGTTTCGTTCACCCTGTACTCAAGCTGACCAGGAAGCTTTTCCACCATGGCTTTTAACTGCACTTCTTCAAGAGCAGTCCAAAGATCCAGATCTGTTTGCACTGAAAATGGGTCAAGGTTTCTCCTCAAGCTACCTCCAAAGAGAACCGGGTCCTGCGCAATAACAGCCATGGAACGCCGCGCCGTCTGAAGGTTAAGAGTTCCGACATCGACACCGTCAATTAACACCTGTGACCAACAAATGGAAAGTTAACTACATCGTAATAAAATTTTCGAACTATTTGATGATTATCTATCATGGATTGCTCTTCAATATTTTTAAATGTCTTATTCTCTACGCTAGGTTGTTCAAAGCTTGGTTAATAAAACCAACGGTTATTCTGAAATCTGATCTCAGATTTTTCTTGAGTACGCCTCGGCCGGTACTCAAGACAGAGGGCACAGTTTTTCCAAATAAGAACCGACCTAGGCTGGTGAATGACATTTTCATTTTTTTTCAAAACTTAGCGAAATTCTCTCCGAAAAAGTGCGAATGCTTTAGGGCCGTAAATACGGCAAGATCTTCCATAAACTGAACAATTTTTGAGCGAGTAAATGCCAGTTAAAATAGAGGTGATGCAAATAACAGAGAGAGGCTTCACATTTCATTTGCGTTATGATAAAAGTGATTTAAAAGGCTTCCAAACAAACTTTGAAACATTATTTTTACAAGTATCTGTCACAATCTGACACCTGTCAATTAGAGAGCGTGTAAGAAAAAAGGACTGGAGGACTTTGGCAAGGACTGTTACGACAATGTTTTCTTCAAAAACAGTCAATGATCTCACGGCAAGTATTATTCACTCTCGTCGACGATTAATTCATGTACGAAGATTTACCTCTGTTCATTAAGTAAACGGCAAGGAAAGTAATTTTAAGTTAATTCAAATTTTTTTTATTTTGAAGTTGTGAGAGTCTGCTCGTTTGTTTGCTGCAATAGCGTGTGTAAATCTGGTCTTTCCTCCACAAAAACTAAATTCGAATGATACACTCCAATTAGGCACAAGGGGATTTAATGCGGCCTTTTCTCATCGAATTCCTTCAGTTTCTGTTGTGCAGCTTATGGTACAAATGTCTAAATTTAATGGACTTGGAAAGAAAGAAAGATGGTTTTTGATAAGATCATCGGTATGATTAAGGCGCGAAACGCTTCTTTATCGTTTTTATAATGTCTATAATGCCTTTTCTCATCGAATTCCTTCAGTTTCTGTTGTGCAGCTTATGGTACAAATGTCTAAATTTAATGGACTTGGAAAGACTCACCGAGAGCGTGTATTTGTTGTAGAACGATTCAAGCAAGAACGAAAGAGACATCCCTGCCAAAGCTAAAAGATGGTTTTTGATAAGTCTTTATCGTTTTTATAATGTCTATAATGCCTTTTCTCATCGAATTCCTTCAGTTTCTGTTGTGCAGCTTATGGTACAAATGTCTAAATTTAATGGACTTGGAAAGACTCACCGAGAGCGTGTATTTGTTGTAGAACTGAAATTAAAACTTCGTTCGCCCTTTCTCTACGAACAAATTGTTTGAGAAAATTCATTTATTAAATGAATGAAAGTTCCATCGATTAGTTCAACTGTAACCAAATACCTCACGTTTTAACTTTCTAGACACTTTTTGTGAACTATTAAAATTTATTGCAGACGGTTTTTCAGGCGCTTGTCAACCAACGTAATGACAGTACTGCTCATACAAAAAGATTATTCTGAAACCAATATTTTTCTGTCAACCAAAGTGATTTGAGAGAGAGAAAAAGAGAGGATTAATAAGTTATTTATCGGCTTGAGGTAGTGACCGACGTCTTTGCTTAAAATACTGCCCAGCTGGAAAAACGATATATATTTATGAAAAATGGCAACGAAAGTAGGGATGTACTCGGCGATTCACGAAAGCGTTACCGTTTCCCGTGGGCAGAGATAGGAAAATACGGACCGCATAAAGAACCAATCAGATTGCAGGATCCCTTACCGTGCCCTTTGAGCTAAAAATAAATAACACTATTTCTGTTTGATTTTCAGTGTGGTATGGTAGTGCCAATTTTTCCGAAAAATGAATAAATTAATTATTAAATAAGTGAATCTAATTCATTAGTTACTTTAGAAAAATTCCCTAATTACATTACAAAAAAATAAAACTACTCGAAAATATGGTTGCTAGTTACTTTACAATTAAAAAAAATCGTTATCAACGTTATTTTGAAGAAGCATTTTGAAAGTCGAATACAACTATTAATCTTTAAAATCTTTAAATTCATCGAGGGCTTACACAAAATTATCTAAAGCGTTCCTTTTGTTATCGCAGCAGAACATCGAAAAGAATAAAGCCATCTGCTGCTGTATTTTCTCTCAGTATTTCAAATCGGTATAAGCTGCAGACACCTTTCACAACCAATCGTAACCTAATCATGTCATTCAGATATCCACTAAGATTAAAACCGTGAATAACCTTTAAAGTGAGAAGTAAACGATCCTGAATACACATATCGTTCGAAGAGCATTGACTAACTCGCTATAAAAGCGACACAACGCCACCTTTTATTTAACAAAGGAAGCAGATGACAGATTCTGATTCAGAAGTGACTTAAGCTGAAAAAGTGTTCGAAAGCAACCCCCTTCGGAAAAAAAGGAATCAGTTCATAAAAATGGCTAATTAAGGTCATCAATGGCTTTGGTCATGCAAATAATGACACCGATAAGGCTATTACAATATCAAACCATTCTGGGGATTTTCAATACGTCATGAGCAATCACACTTGAAATCAAGACATGACCGCATTGTTTTTTCGCATGCGTTTTTGCGACATCAGTTTAGAGCATTGGGTTCGTTTTTTAACATTTAAAGACTGCGTAGATACCTAATGTGAAATAACCTATTCTAACCTCTCCTTCTGGTTCAGGCATGCGTAAAAGGGCTGCGACAATGGATGACTTGCCAGCTCCTGTTCTGCCTGCAATACCTATCTTCTCCTTGTCAGCGATGGACACGCTGATGT